CATGTACGTCATGTAAAAAAGTTTCCATTGATCTGGTAATGTGTTTAGCTTCCGGCCTGTATATTGTCGGTTCTTCGCTAAACGGTTTCGGCAGCCGCAGAAGTGACATGGACTTATGCCTCATGCTGACATCCAAAGCAGTACGTGATCAAATTATTCGTTGCATTTTTAGTTTTTATGCTTATTTCTTAGTTGCATTCTAGCAAGACCTAAAATTAGTCAGCATCAGACAAGTGGATGTCTACAGTCTTTATGCTTGGTATCAATCCTTATCTCATTGCCCTTGCAGATTACTGAGATAATCTTCCATCTATTTTTAGCAGTTTTTGCGTGGTTACTTTCTGATCTTATTTTGACAATCAAAAATTGGTCAGAAAGTAAAAGTTTCTGAAGCGACCAGTCTCACACCTACTCTGAACTCTTCTGTTTTATTTTAAATAGCCGAATCGTACAGTCAGCAAGTCTTATGGTTACGGCGATATTCAAATGTCCTTCTTAATGCAAATCGATTTTTATGGTACTTATATTAAGGATAATCAATTGCAATCAATGATATTCAAATTTTAAGAATAGTTGCATTAATTGGGCTGATTCAAGCGGTTAACTTATTTCCCCGGCAAGATATCTGCGATGGAAAATTTTGAAGACGAACCGTATCAGGACCATTTGTTTTTTCATTTCTGAAGTATATTAATGAGTACAATTTTTGGCACAGCTAGCTATATTTTCTGCTTAGATATAAATGCTACTTAAAAACATGGCAGTTTTCGCCTGTGGTATTGAAATTGAGATAGAGATGCATCATGAACTTAGTCAATGAAGTGAGCCTCAGATAAAACTGTTATCAATGTCGCTTTGATAATAAAAAAACTGTTTTTTTCCTTTGCTCCTGTTGCTAGAATCCTTACCTTCTTTTCAGAGGTTAGACGGTATGATAAATGTAATTCACCTTGTTATTCTATGCGATTGATGACCCACCCATACCCCCTCCCCCCTTGGAATTAAAAACAAAATGCAACTTTATAACCTCTGGGATATTAGTTTTCCTCAAAGGACGCCACATGTGGCGCCTTTATAAAGAAGTTCAAGGTGTAGCCCTGATTTGGGGGTTTGACACAATTTAAGATAATCATTTATATATTTTACTGAGTATCTTCTGCTTGTGATCACCTTAGCGTATTGTCATTTTGTTTTCTTCCTAAATAATGATGTTCGCTTACCTTCGTTTATACGATGAAAGGCATTTTACTCAGCCGGGATGTGAACTCGCAGTTCTGCGGTTTTTCCTGTAATATACACTCTCGACAACGTTAAGACGTCTATATACTCGTTTCCACTGATCATAGATTCAGTATTGTGTTCATTTAATATGTTAGCTTGAATTAGCTGCTGCAATGAATAGAAAAAAATGCATTTCTTTGTACTTTTACTGGAATGGGATACATTTGCTTTGGTCGTTGTCAGTTTTACATCCCTGCATTTATAGAGCAAAAGCCAAACCTGTTTCTAACAATTAATAAATGTTGCAAGTTTTTATACTGTTGTTGCTTGATGTCTTGCTTGCAGATTGACCAGAAGAGAGACGCCGTTACTCTCTTAAAGCTGTTAGCTTCGGCTTTCGAAAGAAATGGTATATTGTGATAAGCTAATTCAAATTTTGATTCGTTTTGTTGCAGAAATCGTGCAAAACCAACAACTTATTGAAGCAAAGGTGCCCATTCTTCGACTCAAATTTCGCGGTCCGTTTGAGGATATCTCTGTTGACCTGAATGTGAACAATTCAGTTGGAATTAAAAACACACATCTGCTCTATTATTATTCAAACTGTAAGTTTGTTCATACTCCTGAACGGGCAGTTAATTTTGATTTTGCTTACGAGTTTTCCTTTGGGCTTTAGGCAGTGATGAGATGTTTCAGCATATACCAGGCGTAAATATTATTTTATTACTGTTTACATTTCTACAGATGGTCAGTCTCTTTATGATGGATCAGTGGACTCGATTTTACATCTCTTCTCTGAACAGGGTCATCAATATGAATGTGATTGGATTATCGTATCTAAACCTGCGATATGTTTTAGTGACTGAAATAGAATTAATTTGCAATTGATATTTTAGTTCTTGCTTTACTAAAAATTCTCATCGCTTCGACAGGCCTCCATGATTCCTAAATAGGTAATTCATCTTTCAAGTCATATCGTAGTTTAATGCAAGATTGTTTGGAAACTGCTTAAAATGCCACATTAAGCCACTTACTCTAATAATGTAGCAAGAATATTATGTAAATAACCACAGTTCTTTTGCCTATGCGTAATTATAGCGCGTTATACTTCGCGTTGTTAACAGTACGCAGGTTTGACACTTAGAAAAGAGGTACTTTGAAAAGGTGGTTGTTGTTTCCTCATGTTGACTTTCCCCAATGATTAGCAGAACAGAACTGGCAGGCCCAGTTGAAACGCGAACCTCCTGTGCGCAATGTGTGCTGCGTGCTTCTAAATTTAATATACTTTCTTGTTGATATACTGTTTACAGTCACAAGTTTCTTCCAGATTATGATGTCATTGTCATCATTCGGTAGTGCAAAAACTATTTTTACTGACTGAATCATTGACAGTGGTCTATGAAAACAATCTATTGCTACCTCCGCAATGCGCCTGAATCCACCGAATAGCAAAACAACTCCAGCAATAAAAACTATGGCGCAGAAGCCTAATTAATTTGCAGGTATTAATTAATTAATTATTAATTAACACGCTACTTGTAACGTGTTGTACTTCAAAGCGAGGGAGCTGACTAATCACGAATACGATTTTGTGTCCATTTACTTCTGTTGATCATGACTGTCAACCCTCTTGGCGCAATCATTCGAAACTGATCTTCTGAAATCTTTAACTTTGTTAAATCACTGACCTAAAATTTCTTCGCTCATTATTTTTCATTTTGCACACCGATTCATATTATTCCATTTTATCATTCAAAATAAACTGTTTTCTTGTAGTGAAAGTAATATTTGTCCTTTTCTATCTAGCATTACATTTGTTTTAGGGGACTGGCGAGTAAAACCGTTGGTATTGACGATCAAAGAATGGGCTCGCCAACAGGGAATTAATGATGCCTCGCAATCTACGCTGTCATCATATTCTCTTGTATTGATGATTCTCCATTACCTGCAATGTAAAATTTACCTGTCTTTTCCAAACGTGTTTGATTGGTCATTCATGATCTTATTTTAGGTGGAGCTAGTCCGCCAATTTTGCCCGCATTACAAAAGTTGTATCCGGTAAGCTAGATTCTGAAAGGTGGTTTCAAATTGCTAATGGTACTCATAGCAAAAGTTTCATGACCGCATCGATGTTCGCTTCCTCAATATGCGCGAGGCGTTGTACCCTGACCCTTCCAGCGTCTTCGTAACGTTTAATGTACAGTCTCTTGGAGAATTGTTTCTCGGTTTTCTCGAGTATTACGCATTCATTTTCAAGTGCGGAATCACATAATTGAATTGCTCATTCTTGATTTTATATATCTCATTTTGTAGCTTCGAGGAGGACGCGATTTCTGTCAGATGTGGATCAAAGATTCCGCGTGGCATCGCGGCAAGCTGTAATCCGTTGCTCAACTACCCTTCAAGTTGGAAGTGTCTTTACATTGAAGGTACTTTAATGATGGAACCAGCCTGTCTATCGCTTGTTTTTTTAGAGCCTTTCACTCTCTCCAACACCGCTTATTCGGTCTACAATGAACACGTTTTTAGCTTGGTGAAGCAAACGTTTGTCCGAAGTTTTGAAGTCCTCCGCTATCGTCGGCGAATGTCTATTGTCATGTGTTCACCTGGTAGCGACGATTAATTCCTCCCTTATTACCTAATGTCAGACCAAGAGCCATTTCATGGATGCCTTAAGTTTTATTTCAGTGCCGAGCAGCAATTCTTCTTTATCCGTATATCATACTTCAAAGTTTGTTTTTCTCATTTCCTTCTGATTATATAAATTTCTTTTCGACTGTCTAAAAATTTTCTCACCTGCTTTTGTGATTAGATCACATAGCGTTCCAGAGCTTATCAGGAGTGGTTTATAAACCTACTGTATTCCGTCCTTGAAGTTTCCAAAATTTTGTAAATTATCTGTACTTTTTTATCAGTAAAGGTTGAAAACCACATTCATGTTTTCCTGAAACAGAACAATGTGCTGGTTATTTACTGCATCAGATGCTGTTTCGATTACAATTGATGATATGTTTTAATCAGTCTCGGAAATTTTATTGCTTTAGTAGGTAGCAGCTCCGCCCGTTTCGACGCAGATGCCATAGAAACCATTGTCAGTCTAAAGTAGAAGCCGAAATAGCAAGCGGACTGGTTATCATTCAAAAGGAAATTATGACCGTACTAATTGCCTAGTGTCACAACGTTTACAGAATAGGGCAGTCAGTTCTTCAGGTCCACCCTGACCTTGAAGAGGATAGAATGAAATGTAAGACAATACAATTACAAGTGAGATAGCAAAAAGAAGGTAAAGAACCTGATCCAGTAAGAGGCTACCTTCACGGCCTTAAATATAGGTCACTCCGAGCTCATACTTTCACTGGACGCGTGATGACTTCTTAATAGTTAATAACAGCACGTGAATCATCTTTATCAGAAGTTAAAGTTTAGGTGTCTTGACCTTTAGCGGTCGAAAGCGCGATCACTATGACGTATGTGAATGACTGCGGTAGCTTCTTTCACGCTTGAAAATATGGCACAATATGATTGAATACGCTCATTCATCTTTACTTCATTGTCGTCAGACCGAATCTCTTTCTTTAAAATTTTTCACAAAACAGATACACCGTTTTGGACAGTAATTCTGTAGGATTGATAAACTTGCGCTGAATTTATGCATGATCAAAATAGTGTCGTATTAACCTGTATGTTCTAAGAGAAGCTATATGTTCTTTCTTTAATCGGCGCTACTGGCAACATCCAGTAAACAAGATTCAGATAACGGGTCGACAGCTGTTTTTCAGTTAAATTTTGTTTTGCTAATTATGAAGGTTGTGATCGATCAAATATTGCATTTGGTAAGTATTTGTACAACTGTGCCTCTGAATTGCGGTGTTTTAGCATTTGAATATTCTGTGATAAGTGAACGATCGTCTCAGGTGTTATGTTCCATCCATGCTGCCCAGCGTCTATCTCACGCCTCACTCGTATGGATAAGAAGACGATGGCGGAATTCCATTTGCAATTTAAGCTGACAGCAGCTGATAGGGTAGTGAGGTAAAGGTAAGACAGCATTGAATGTCACAAAGCAGTCATGTTTGATCATGTAGCTGGGCTTGAAAAATTTTACAAGTTAATAAATGTTTTATTGTAATTCCAGAGTTTCTAAAATAGGTCATGCTTTCATCGATGTGAAGTGATAAAATGCTTTTACTGTCATTAGCTGAAGTTCATGTGGCGTTTTTCCATGTGACGTTGCAGAATAATTAAACTATTGTAATTTTAAGCAGAAGTTTGTCAGTACTTTGATTTTTTGTTTTTCTCACTGCTTTTTATTTGTTTCTTAAGTTGGACAGATTTTAATATACTTTTAGCTATGCTGAAAATCGAAATCATGTCGTGATTCTGTTCAATTAGTAAATATTACGAAGCTAACTCGTTTTCTCTGCATTATAAACATATACCTTCCTGCTTCAGTGATAATTACACCCTCCCCGCGTTGAAACTTTGAATTCACTACATCCGACCCTCTTCGCAGTTTCTATCGCCTATGCAGATGTGCTGTTACAGCGCTTGACGAAGTTTGTTTAGACGGCATTGACTGAATACCATTAGGTCATTTTTTGTTCACTCTCAGCTTTAACTGCAATTAACGTATAGTCGTAATCACCGGCACATAATTGATGACGGTATTGTGTTGCGATGGCTAAACTGGTACAACGAATCACGACAACCTGTTAGAAGGTTTCAGTTGGGAAATTTTGCTTAAAAACCGTTGATCGTTTAGTATGAGTGTTGGCTTTGCTTTTGCATGATTGATTTTGCTTGCATCAACAGTGAGAATAGATCAAAATAATGTGCTGGCTATGCTATCGAAAACTGCTTTTCGGCATCCAGTCATAAGCCAGGCATTGTATCAGCACATATTGATCGACGTAACTTATTTTCTGTCAACTATTAGTTCGTCCAAATAGACGTTCATTCACAGCTGATTGCTTCTGATCATAATGTTTTTAAAGCAATCAGCAACCGTTTGCAGAAGCCAGGTTTGCATAATGACGTGAACAATGTGCAGTTGACCGTTGACAGGTGATTTAAAAAATAAACAATAAATCGCTAAATTTAAGACTGTTAGTTCACGGAAGACACGTTTCTTAGTCTAGAAAACAACAGTGTGGCAGTTGTTACGTGTTTACGGAACGCCTTATCTATAATCCATCCAATGACTAGGCTCAGCTTGAGAGGGATGAGCTTGTGTTAATGACCCTTGGTCTATGGACTGACGTCCTGCAAAGAGAACGAAGTTAATTTGAAAGATTGATGGATTTTACGAATAGGTAATTACAGCTGACTGTTTTTCGATAACTTTTAATCCTTGTCTTCGTTTACTGGTGACTTATGTTAAATCCTACCGTGTAAACTATATTGACAGAACATGCCACACTAACCGCATTTAAGGGCACAAGTGGCATTTTTAACTTATGTGGCTGCCGGTCTAAAGTAACCTAAGCAATAAATTTTGCTGTCATCAATAATCCAGTCTTTGCCTGTTTCTAAGCTTTGGATGATGAACGATTCAGACTTTGCAGTTATAAAATTATAAAGACTTCTTTTTTGAATCAAGTAAAAATTCGCTTAAAGGAAGTGAGGCTGGTTTCGGATTTACTTTCACGGATAATTATGGCGTTTAATTTCCCATTTCAGCAAATATGTTGGTCAGATAATAAACATAAATAGAGTTAAGTTTCATATAATAAACGTTATTTATACAAGTACGCAGGAAGCTATTTCATTTTGTTGTTGGATGAATATTCGTCAGAAATAAGGCAATAGAACAGTAGACTCAATTGTACCAAATAACTAACAGAACTAGAATTAAACAACTGGGGCAAGTACTCGACATCGGGCCTAAATGGAAAAAAATGCGAAATCGAGCGCAGGGCGTGATTGTATCACTGATGTGGGTCAGGGCGATTGATTGAGAAACAGCAACCGGAAACAGCCTTTGGACGAGTACAGCGCAGCAGGACAATACACAAATTGGATGCTGCCAGCCTCAAACATGTTTGGATAAGAAGAGACAACGTTACGCAACGGCAATCGACGTGGACCAGCGTCAGCGACAGATTCTGTACTCAGCTGACTTACAACGTAAACCGTCGACATCAACGTCCTTTTGACGGAACCAAACTTGGTAGAAGTGGAGTGCCAGAAGAAGACGACGATGAAGTTTGGCGAGGTACTCTCAGCTATGAAAAGTCTGAATGTTATCGTTCACGGCTGGGTTCGAGAATATTACAAGAGACATGCGCTGATCGTGGCTCATTTTCCATGGACATTCATAATTATTCCGTTGACTCTAACTGTCTTCTTAGCTACGGGCTTTCATAGAATAATAATCGAAGATGACATTGAAGTTTTGTACAGTCCAAAAAATTCAATGGTTCCACAAGAAGCTGCAGTGCATGACTCCTTTTACACTTGGAGTCCTCCGTCGAAATCGCTCAAGAAACGCAGTGTTGAACTCACAGGGGAGGAGTTCTCTTCGTCGTATATGTACACCGTATTGAAACACAACGATTACGAAAACGTGCTGCATCAGAATGCATGTAGAGCTCTAGTCGATATCCATGAAAATTTTGTGCAAAATCTTATAAAGCTGTATCGCTCCCATGGGATGTCTGATCGCATTGATGTCGATATCTTCATGTTGGACGGCATAAATCTGCCCCTCTTGCGTTTCTGTCAGCTGTTCTTTACTGAGCCCATGCGGCATAATCCGAACGTGCGTTTAACCTACCCGTTCATGGAAGCATACGGTGTTAAGATTGGTTTAGAATCAGCTTTAGGAGGAGTGGAACAACATCCAAATGGATCTGTTGCTTCGGCGAGAATAATGCGATTGCTGCACTTTTGGTACAACAATCAAGAACGCGGTCTCAATAAATCCTTTCTTAGCGATTTAGACTTATTCATTCGACATCGCCTCATGAACACTAACTTTTCGCATGTGTTCGTCAATCAGGACCTGATCAGTGATGACATCTTCAAAAACGTCACATACACTTTGCCGTACTTAGGCATCAGTGCTGTGCTGTTGTTATCTTTCATCATTGTTTCCACGAGCAGTACAAACCCGATTAGGTCGAAGTCGATTCCTGGCGCCATGGGTTGCCTTTGCTCTTTCATGGCCGTGACGTCATCATTTGGCCTATTATTCTACCTAGGAGTACCCTTCAACCCGATTGTTTCCGTGACTCCATTCATAGCACTTGCGATTGGGATTGATGATACATTTCTGGCAATCAGTGCTTGGCAGCAAACGGATTTCAACCTCAGTGCTGAGCAGAGAATGATTTTGTCACTGCAAGAATCAGCTAGTGCGATTACTGTAACCGCTTTCACTGATATCGCATTATTCAGCATTGGCACCATTTCTGATACCTTAGCCATTCAGATATTCAGTGTATTTGTTGCAGTTACTATGGCTTTCGACTTTTTGTACCAGATTACATTTTTTGCCGGTGTATTAATGATAAGCGGAAGAAGAGAACAATATGGAAGTTTTGATGTCCTCTGCATGTGCTTTCGAATGTCGCATGACAGCGAAAGTTCCGTGAAAAAAGCCACGGCTGATATGTCGAATTACTCTATTGATTTTCTGTTCAGAGAATACTTTGGCAATGCGCTGAACAACCAAGTTGTCAGAATATTTGCAGTGGTCACGTTTTCCATATACGTAATATTAGCTTTTTGGGGATGTTGCCATCTACTAATAGATATGAAAATCACTATGTTGCTAGTCGATGATTCGCCTCTTCAACCATATTTTCATTTCAAGAATAAATATGAACGATCAGCGGTTTCAGTTACTGTCCACGTCCTGAAACCGCCGGACCTAAATGATGATCAGGATGTCAATAACTTCATGAACCTTGTGCAAAGCCTCGAATCGCTGAAGTACTCGACAGGGCCAGATTCTTCACTGTTGTGGTTAAAGGATTACTTGCAGTTCGTTCAATCCGATGCGATATTTGCACAAAATAGTCTTGATTCGTTTGAAGAATTTTTGAACAGATATCAGTACCAGCTGTACAGGTCAGACATACGGTGGTACCGCGAAAAGAATGGACAACCAAAGATCGACCGCTTTCTTTTCCACAGTTACTTCAATACAAGCGGTCATTGGTCGAGAATGACTGATTTGCTGAAGCAACTACGGGCGACCGCCAAGCAGTACAAACAGTACGAAGTCAGCATCTATATCGCCGATAGTGCAATGTGGGATCTGATGTTGAACAGTGCGGACAACACTCTGCAGACGGTCGGCGTTGGCATTCTGTGTATGGTGTTGATGTCTGCTGTTTTTATTCCAAATGCATGCAGCATTTTCTGGGTGAGCTTCACACTGGCTTCGATGGACCTCGGAGTGATCGGATTTCTCTCTCTGTGGGGAGTCAAGCTGAATCCGGTGTCGGTCATCAATATCATTCTCAGTCTCGACTTTCCCACTGAATACGCTACGCACATCTGCCACTGCTTCTACAAGCTGAACGAAGATGACCCACAGGAGAGACTGAAGATCACCTTAGGAACAGTCGGTTGGTCGATCCTTCAAGGCG